AGAGAGAGAGAGAGAGAGAGAGAGAGAGAGAGAGAGAGAGAGAGAGAGAGAGAGAAAGAGAGAGAGATGAGCGATCCAAGATTGGTTGTCACTTACCTGTAAGACGAGTTGCGGAGTCCGGCGGAGAAGGAAGATAGCGGCGATAGCCGCGGAGCATCAACACACAGTATCGGAGGAGAGAGAAAGGGAGGACAGAGAAGGAGGGACAAAGGAGAGAGAAGAAGAAGTGTGGAAGGAGGGTACCGGAGAAGAAGACAGACATAGCCGGGGGTGAACAAAAAAAAAACAAAACAAAGAAAGTGAAGAAGAAGAAGAGTGAAGGAAGGGGAAGTAAGCGGCGAGGGTGACGAAGCTGATGGTGTCGGCAGCCATAGCCGAGGTGAAGGGTTGACCGGTCGTTGACCAGAGAGTTGACCAGAGGGTTGACGAAGGGTTGACCAGAGGGTTGACCAGGCGTTGACCAGGGGTGTTGACCAAGCGTTGACTGGGGTTGTCCGCGTTGACTCAGCATTGACCAAGGCGTTGACCGGAGCTGCTGACCCTGATTTTGACCAAGCTGGAGTTGGTGATATCTCGTTGAGCCCTCAGCCTATCCCCTTACCCTGTGGATGTGCACTTACCCCACAGTACTTGCTGAGTCTGTCTGTCTACTCTTTCTGCATTGAGTCTCTTTTGTCCCAGGTGTTAGGACTCTGTGGATGAAGGATAGGGCCTTGCTGCCAAACCTGCACGGGCTTAGTAGGACCAAAGCTCTACTCTGGCATCTGGAGACCTGGGCATGAGCGGCGAGCGCTCGTTAAACAACTCGTCTAGCCCAATGACCGGTACTGTCCGGCAGGTCTACTGAGTTCAGCGTAGAGGGCCCGAACTCCGAGCTCTAGGCTGAAACGAAGGCCGTCTTTAAGTGTTGAGGCCTGGTTGAGCCACTCCCCTACCGGACCTAGTAAGGCTGATGATCTGTGTCTGACAACTCGATTGTTCCGAGGGACAAACCCCTCCAAGAACCGGTACAGACCGGCGGGCTGCTCGGTGTGACACAGTTGGTCGGAACGGCTGAGTTGTGGGCTGAAATCGCCAGGAAGAGCCAAACTGATCGCGTCGTCCTGTTGCGACATTAAAGAATTTCTGCGGAGTTTGGGGGATATCCTTAAATGCCTCCTGATCAGCTGCTGGTTCAGTAGTGACAGCCTTAGAGTAGTTTGAGTAGTGGTCCTTAGAAAGTCAGTCAGGTCAGTGTCCGGGTAGGTCTAAGTGGTAAGGAGTGAGACTCTTGTCGTGCACCAGACACCATGATGGATGACTATCCCATGTATGGGTTGCTTGTTGGGTTCTCCCTCTGGGGGACCCTCTGGCGTCTCCTCTTTCCTCTCGGCTTTTGGCCCACTTTCACGTGTAGAGTAGGGACTCGGGGTGGTGCTTCCACCCAACCTTACACGAAGGAGGAGGAGGAGAAGATGACGGCCATTATGCAGGAGAGAAAGGAGAAGAAGGAGGCCAAGAAGAAAGCCTTGATGGAGGCACAGGCGGCCAAGTTGAAGAAGATAGAAGAAGAGATGGCTAGAGAGAAGGAGAGAATAAAGAAGGAAGAAGAGGAAAAGTTGAAAGAGGTGGAAGAGGAAGAGGAGGAAGAGGAAGAGGAGGAAGATGAAACGCCACTGCAGAGGAAGAGAGTGGAGTACAGTGGCAGCAAAGATGAGGAGATGGAGAAACGGATCTCAGAGTGGGTAGCCAGTTTATCCCTGGGCGAAGAAGAAGAAGTAGCAATGTACATATCCAAGGACGATCAGGAAGCCGCTATGAGAGCTTGGGAAGCAGAAAAGGATGTCGTAAAGCGGCAGGCGTTGGAAGACGAAAAGAGGATGGAGTGGAAATTGGCAGTGGTGAGGGAGAAGAAGAGAAGAGTGGACGCGGCAGCGGAGGCGGCAGAAGAGTTGGAGGAGGTACAAAAAATAGAAGAGCAATTAGCCGTCCAGCTTGAGCTCCCAAAGCAAATGCAAGTCATAGCCCGAAACGTTGCACGTCTAGCACGAATCCAGGCGGAGCAATATGACTTTAGTAGGAGTTAACACATAGTTGTGCGTTTAATAAATTTGGGATTTCGCGACTTTGCTCATGAGTTGGTAGGCGCTATAACCACCGAGGTGGATCATTGCCTCGAGAAGACAGAGCGGTCATGTGCCGGCGCCATTGAGGGCGTCAAGGCGGCGACTCCCAAGGAGGAGGAACCACGTCCGCGTAGGGAGTCAGTCAAAGTCAAATTCCCTGATTCCTACAGTGGAAAACGGGAAGAGAACTTTGACTATTGGGAGGCCAATGTCAAGACCTATGTCCATCTACAACAGGTCTCCCCGGATCAGCAAGTTTTAATTGCGATCCAAGTGCTTAGAGATGAGGCCGCCAACTTTGCAAGGTCCCTACTTCATGCTGCCAACTGTAGTGACGATCCCGTTGCATACTCCTCGTTCACGTCCCTCACTGAATTCTTGAAACTGCTGCGCGAGCGATTTGCTGATGTCGCTCGCAGTGTTAAGGCCTCAGACAAGCTCTAGATCATCCACGCTCATAAGTGGAAGATTGTCAGGGCACTCAAGGGTACGATGGATGAATTGGTGGCCGTCCCTGACCATGAGGTCATAGAGGCCCGATTGGTCAATCTCTTCTATCGATCGGGCTATGCCCGAAGCTTTTCGAGGGCAGTTCTTCACGAATAGCGAAGACCCTGCCACCACTTACGATTCCCTTAGTCGTGAGGTGGTGGCTTTTGAAGCTAAGTCTGTGTCCCTGTCTACCTTCTGGCACAAGGACTTAGACAAAGGGAAGCAATGGAAAGGTCGCACTATCTCAGGGCAGGTTAAGACCAAGGACATCCTTGTCCTGACATTAGATGAGGGTAGTGTGGATGAGATCCCCTACGAACAGATTGAGTGGGGGTTAGAGGAAGAGGAGAACGGTGTGGGCCAGGGGAGGACTTACGCTGCTGTCGCGGATGGGGGGAGACCGCAAGGAGGAGGACGAGGCCAGGGCCAAGGGGGCCGGGCCTTAGGGAGCTGGTTCCAGGGCGATCAGGGGGTTGGTGGCAGAGGAAGAAACCGCCAAGCGGGAGGCAAGGGTCAAGGTCCCCCGCAAAACCGTCCTAGGAATAGGTCTCCCTATAGGGTAGGAGGATCACACCCGGGGCTACCGCAGGGTAGGCCTTGGGAAACTTTGGGTCTGGACCAGACTTTATGGAAACAACGATTGGACTGGGGCTAGTGCATTTTTTGCGGTGACCCGGGCCATATCATTAAATACTGTCCGAAGTATCGAGAGACCCAAACGGCTGCCCAAGGGCCAAAAGGCAGCCGCCGGTCAAGGTAGCAACTGTCCCTACCATTAGGCCATGTGAAGAACATAGCGCTACCCGGCAGGAGGCTCCCACACCACATGTGCCTATGGCAGAGGTTGCAGGCCGGTGTCTAGATAGCTGCCCAAAGACTGCTTGTGTTAGGGTCTCTCTTGACACCTCCCTCACAGGCGTAGCCGAAGAGTTGAAAGAGAGGAGGCTCGCCTGGGCCAAGATAAAGAAGGAGAATAAAGGGCAGCTGATCCTACTAGATACAGAGATTTTCAGAGGTAGAGTAGAGACCCTAGTAGACTCAGGGGCCACCCGCAGCAGTGTTAGTAAGAAAGCGCTGCAGAAATTGAGGCTGGGACTTAAAGTCCAGAAACTGACAGACCCCATAGTTAGTATCCTCGTGGACAATCGTACCATGGTTGTAGAGGATTATGTAGAGGGAGTCCAGGCGTATTTCCGCCTAGAGAAAGATGGGAAAGTGGAGAAGGTCCTCCACTCCCTGACTCTCCTCGTAGAAGACAGCCTCCCATTTGATATTGTTCTGGGAATGGATTGGGGAGAGGCAGCCGGGGCCACGCTCCATTTGAAGGAGCACGAGTGTAGGCTCCCTAGTTCTTCAGGCGAGGCTAAAACTGCCCGCCTGTTCCACGTGTCAGGAGCAGAGAATCCATTGGCACATTGATCCCTTAGTGCGCTTGCATTCGCCAGATTAGTAAAGAAGGAGAAACTGGAGGAACAAGTCTTTGTCGCCTATGTTAGGCCGGTAACTGAGCCTACGGAAGAAAAACCGCTGAACCCTGCAATTGCCAAGCTGCTGGAGGAGTTTAAGGATTTAATTGAGCCGCCGATAGGAGTAGTACCGCGGCCCATCCAGCACCGTATCGAGATAAAGCCTGGCAGTAGAACTCCTAAGGGTGTTGTGTATAGGATGTCCCCACGGGAGTTAGAGGAGCTTCGCAAGCAATTAGACGAGCTCCTCGAGAAGGGTTGGATTAGGCCCAGTTCGTCTCCTTTTGGAGCGCCTGTTCTTTTTGTTCCTAAGAAAGAGGGAAAGTTGAGAATGTGTATAGACTATAGGGGTCCGAATGCTATTACAGTGAAGAATGCTGAGCCACTGCCTAGGATAGACGATCTCTTAGATCGAGTGCAAAGAGCGAAGTATTTCTCTAAGATAAATTTGAAGTCCGGATATCATCAGATAGAAGTGCATCCTAATGATCAGTATAAGACCGCCTTCCGGACTAGATATGGGCACTATGAGTTCATAGTGATGGCCTTTGGACTAACCAATGTGCCAACTACGTTCTAGCGTTGTATGAACGATTTGTTTAGGCCGTGGTTAGACAAATTTGTTGTAGTTTACCTGGATGACATTCTAGTGTTTAGCAGGACCCTCGAAGAGCATCAGGGTCATCTCAGGCAGGTCTTGGAGAAGCTGAGGGAAGCTAACTTTAAGATCAAAGCAAGGAAGTGCGATTGGGCAAAAACCCAAGTTTTGTATTTAGGCCACGTCTTAGACAGAGACGGCGTTAAACCAGAGGATAGCAAGATCGCAGCGATTAGAAATTGGCCCACGCCACGTACGCAAACAGAGTTGCGCTTGTTCCTAGGCTTAGCTAATTACTACAGGAAGTTCGTGAGGAACTTCTCCACCATCGCTGCGCCCCTTCGTAGATTGCTGAGAAAGGAGACCATCTGGAAGTGGGATAAGGACTGCACGTCTGCCATGAAGAAGTTAAAGCAGGCATTGATAGAGTATCCAGTCCTTAGAGTCGCAGATCCGTCCTTGCCTTTTGTCGTCACGACCGATGCGAGTCAATACGGCATAGGTGTGGTGTTGCAGCAGGACGATGGAAATGGGTATAGACCCGTAGAGTTCATGTTCGCCAGATTGCCTTCAGAGAAGGTCGCGACATCTACCTATGAGAGGGAACTCTACGCTCTCAGGCAAGCCTTAGAACACTGGAAGCACTACTTGCTTGGGAGGCACTTCGAAGTCTATTCCGATTATGAGACATTGAGATGGTTAAAGTCGCTGGCCAAGCTGACACCTAAGCTTACTAGGTGGGCCGCAGAGATAGATCAGTATGACTTCGAGCTCAAGCCTGTCAAAGGGAAGTACAACATAGTCGCGGATGCTCTGAGTAGGAGGGCAGATTACTTTGGAGCAATAGTGCACTATCTCGATATAGGGAAGGACCTGCAACAGAAGATTAGAGACGCCTACGCGCAAGACCCTATCTATAGTGACCTCCTTAAGAAAGTCGGAGAGGCCCTAGAGACTGAGCCGAACTACCGCACTACTGAAGGGTTGCTTTTTTAGAAGACTAATGTCTTTGACCGCCTGTGCATTCCCAGCAATGAAGAGATTCGTAGCCTGATTTTGGGAGAGTGCCACGACACAGAGGGTCATTTCGGGTGGAAAAAGACTTTAGCCAATCTAATGCACGCATATACCTGGCCAAGGATGAAGAATGACTGCGTAGAGTATGTTCGCAGTTGTAAAGTTTGCCAGTGTAACAAGACTTCTACGCGTGCCCCGTTAGGTCTTCTCAGACCCTTGCCCATTCCGGATCGGCCGGAAGACTCAGTGTCCATAGACTTCATGGACACTCAAGTCAAGAGCAGGCATGACAAGAGCCAAGTCATGGTCATAGTTGACCGTTTTAGCAAGTATGCCGTTTTTGTTCCTTTGCCTTCAGAGGCACGTACTGATTTAGTCATACAGAGATTTTTTGACCGTTGGGTGAGTGAGAGTGGAATCCCACTGTCTATAGTTAGCGATAGAGATAGTCGCTTTACTAGCCAGAACTGGCAAGAACTCATGGGAGTATATTGATCTAAGTTGATGATATTGTCCGACCGTCATCCAGAGACTAACGGTCAACAACAAGTTCTGCGCAAGTACATTAGGCCAGATCAGAATAACTGGGACGAGATGTTGCCTAAAGTAGCTAGTGCGTATAATAATAGCGTGCATTTGTCCACTTGCCGCACTCCCAACGAACTGCACAAGTCCTTTAGACCGCGCAGACCGTTTGAAGGACTCAACCGGGATCCGATTCACAGATTACCACCCGGGACCAGGGAGTTTGTTGTACAACACGAGAAAGAACTAGCTATTGTTGTAGAGAACCTCAGGAAAGCCCAACATAGGATGATAGAGCAAGCGAATAAACATCATCCCCCTTCACAGTTTCAAGTAAGTGACTTAGTCTGGATCAGTTTTAAAAAATTCGCGCCTGAGGAGAACATCTCGCAAAAGTTACTGCCCACATATAGAGGACAGTTGCCTGTTGTGGAAGTCAAGGGCGGCAAAGATGAACCGTCCTATACCATAGAACTCCCAGCATACCTTCACACTTACCCAGTTTTCCATGCATCGAAGTTGTTACCTTATCAAACAAGTGATCAGTTTCCATCTCGTAGATCTATTATTCCGCCCGATATGGATGAAAGGTATGACATCGATGGCATAGTAGCTGAAGATGTATTCAGAACAAGAGGTAGGGGTCGTCCACAGAAACAGTACAAGGTTCATTTTAGTTATCAAGAACTGGAAGACGACCGCTGGTTTACAAGATCTGAACTTCTAGATACAGCTCCCGATATAGTCCGGGCCTACGAGAGGCAGAAGAGAGGTAAAGGTCCTGCTTTGGACTGAACTTTTCTCGGAGGACCTCGAATTTAGGCCGGCGGCATAGAAACGGTATTCACCAGTTCGCAGTAGCGAATGCAGATCCCAGGGCTCGATCCCTCGTTCCCCATCTTACCTGTGTACAGTATTGATGTCAACCCGTAGATTTGAACTTGCGACCTGTAGGATCGTCAGTGGTAGGTAGACTTTCGTAGCTCACAGGGTAGGAGGGATTCGAACTGTAGGCTTGTAGGGTAGGAGTCTAAACAGTTCAGAGGTCGTAGCTGTAGACTGCCTGGAGAGTCAAGGTCGTAGTTGCTACTTACCTGAAAGGGAAAAGTCGTAACTGCTACAGTACCGAAAGGCCAAGTTAGAGGTTTCTAGAAGTGGCCTTTCGGAGTTAGCCTGCGTTCAGCAGAGGCAAGTGGTCAAGTGGTGGTAGTCCACCTAGTACAGTCAACAGTCCCAGTTAACCCAGTCTGGTCCAGTCAAGCAAGTACCGTCTGGGACTGTGCACACTGTGGGCCACGGTATACAAGGCAGACCAACGCATCACATAAGTATAAAGCAAGAGGCTGCGCCCAACCATTCATTCAGGCGGAAGCCATGCGGAAGCGCTGCTTCAACGTCTTGTGCAAGGAGGTCTGCAGGAGGCCCGAAGACGAAGTGGGCGAGGACGAAGTAGTGTAGCGATAGCAATAGGTAGCGGCAGCCATAGCTGTCGTAGCTTAGCCTAGAGTGTAGTGTGTGTGAATTGTGTGCGTGTTCAGAGTGTTGTGTGTGGGACATCCAGGGTGATCCAGAGTGCGAACAGTGAGTTGTGTGGGCGCACAACCGCCATAGCCAGTTGGAAGAGAACTCTTATCTGGTTACGATATCTTGGAGTGTTGTGTGGGCGCATGTCGCCAGTTTGCTGTATCGTTGTTTGCATGTATGACAAGTGTGAATAAGTCGAGTCTGATTGCACTGCTCCCCGTTCCCTATAAAATGGGGGCCAAAGCACTATGCAATAGATTCCTACCGCACATAGGCCATCTCATTCATATGGACCAAATGGGGTTCATGCCACAACGAAACATACAAGACAACATGTTGCTGGTAAACGAGACCATCAAATACGCGAGACAATGCAAGAAGGATGTGGCAATCCTGTTTATTGACTTTGAAAAAGCGTACGATCATGTTGAATGGCAATTCCTGGACTTGTGCCTGCAAAAAATGAACTTCGGGCCAGGATTTAGACATTGGGTCAATACCCTACACCACTCAGCAGCAACCAACATTATGATCAACGGCCACCTCTCGGCGCCCTTCCCACTGCAACGATCAGTGAGACAAGGGGACCCGATAGCACCGTTGCTCTTTGTGATTGTTATGGAAGCGCTTGCCTCTCTCATTAGGGCAAACCCCGCAATACACCGCATTGAAATATCGGAACTGCCACCGCATATGATACTCATTACGTCCCTTTTTGCAAACGACCTCACGGTCCTTATCAAAGCTTCTCCCTCTAGTAAGGTAGGCTTTGGCGAACACGATCCACCTCTTCTCCATCGGTGCAGACATGAAGGTAAATTGGGGTGTCAAAACAGAAGGGTAGTAGATCCACACGACGGGAGAACCCCCCCCGATTACCCTCTTGTTAATTGGAAACCAAGAGAAGAAGCTATACGGGTCCTATGGGTGAGAGTCACAGCCCTCGGCCCGCCTGGTCCAAACAACGATCCAGGCCATGTCCAAATGGAAAGGTCTGCACACTTCGCTAGTGGGAAGGGCCTTGGTCATTAACAATGTTATCCTGTCTACTATTTGATATAAGACAACATTCTGGATGCTACCCCCAAAACAGCTATCGGCTCTGAAACAAGTGACTGCGGCATACCTGTGGAGAAATGATCATGAATTGCAGACTTGTATGAAAAGGGTAGCATGGGCCCAGCTGGCCCAGCCAAGAGATATAGGGGGCCTGGGAATCATCGAACCGGAAGGGGAAATCAAAGCATTGGTCTTCAAAATCATAATTAGACTGTTGATGGGTAACGATATCCCATGGGTCACACTGGTTGACATTCAACTGCGATGCCTTGCCCCTGACACAGCACAGGAAAGACCAATCCATGCCCTGGCTTGACTCACAAATCCACGGTGGTTTATCCCAAGTACTCCCAAAATGGTAGCAGAGGAATCTCACACAAGTGCCAAGAAAGCGGACTTAGCAAATGATCCTCTTTGAGCCTCCATCCTTGCACTATGGAGGGATATAGGCCCGAATAAACTGCCACCACCGTCACGATGGCATGAGGTCTGGAGACAACCCTGGTTTGGGAATCCTCACAATTCTCACCTCGCAAGGTCGAACCTTCTCTATCAAGAACGACTCCCATTGGCTAGGATGGGTCAAACGGGGCGTTTTCACAGTGGGGGACCTTTGGGACATTAGAGTTGGTAAGTGGAAAACAATTGATCAACTTAAACCAGCCCTTAAAAACATTCGAAACCCGAAGGAGAAGCTTCGGGAACTGTAGGAAGCCATCCTCATAGCTTGGATCAAAGCCCTTAGACAGGGCCCCACCATCCAAGAAGGGAACTGGGTAATTGCAGCAACTTTCCTACCAGTCCCCATGGCCCTCTACCGAGTAACCAGCTGTCGGGACAATCTTACAGTGCTGGAAGCATATGACTTGACACTCGACGGGGCCAGAATGACAAGTCTGGCCAGAAACGAGCGCCTGGATAAACAACAACCTTGGTCGGGCCTCATAAGAGTACGTGTGCTGGGTGATGAGGAAGATGGTTGGTGGGGCTATGAAGCCGCTACGCCAATCTGATCACTACCATTCGATCCCGAAGAGTGGCAAAGGGGAGTAGCTAGACAATTGCCGATCTGGAAATACACGGTAAAAGAGTGCAATAGGAAGAGCCATAAGACCACCGACACAACTAACATGATAAAAGACAGGTAGCGGCGTGACTCTGTACTGAAAGAAAATGATCTACAAAACTTCAGGTGGTCCCGCTATTCCGGTCTTATGCCCACATCGCAGTGAGCACTCCAATGGCAAATCGTATACCGTTGTTTGCCAACCCCAGATTTGGTGGTCTCAAGATCACGTCTGGAACAAAAAGGCATCATGTTGCCCCTATGTTCCTATTGTGGTGTCTCATCCCAAAAACATATAGCAGACCTCGAACACTGCCTGGTAGATTGCCAAACGGCAAACCAAATCTGGCGTTGGTGGGCGGCAGCATGAAAATACCTCACACATAGCGACCTGCCCTAGGACCCGACGTTACTTCTGCTGAACCAGCCCACAGCCTCCACGGCCGCATGGTCGCTCTTCCAATCCAACCTCTTCAAATTCACAAGGCTGGAAGTATTAATGGTAATTTGGCGGGCTCGTTGTCCCCATGAAAGGAAAGAAGACTCCTTCGGCTACATCCAAGCAATACAACACGTAGTTGAAACAATAAGAACCAACATACAACAAGCTTAGACAAGCCTAAAGGAGAAACTCACATCTGCTATTGATCAAAGTTTAACCAAAATTGTTGAACTCATCACCGCCTTCGAACAGGAGTGGCTAGATCCAGACCAGAAGATTGCAGAGTTAGATGGGAACCGGAACCTCATGTGGAAGCCTTGGTGGATGGAGGAACACCGATGGCATTGGAAAACGCTACTTGCATTCCACCGACAATCAACAGGACATCCAGTTCTGGTAGCCCCCTCACCTCACCGTGTCCAACTGGATTCAAAGGGGAGCGCATGCCACACAACACAACACCCAAATCCACCGCTCTCGGACTCCCCTCCCCCGTTTACCCCCCTGCCCTCGCCGACACCCCCACCGCCACCGGAGGGATCTCCACCACAAACTCCTTGTCCCCCTTCATGACCATCACCATCAGCTCCACCCCCTCTGCCGAAGGGCACCGCACCACAAATACCCTCGGCCCCCCCATCCCCTTACCCCTGCCACCATCGTCCACACCCAACACAACGACCAATGCCACCCACACACCCTCAATGCCGGAAGAGCCCCCACCCGAAACAACCCTACCTCCCCGACCACTCCCAACAGCTTCAGAGCCATCCTTCCCCACCTCTCTCCTATCTTCTTAGGACTGCCCCTGTTCGAACACAGCATACAAGCCCTCGCCAGGCAACGACAGGTTCAAGCAGCAGCAGGGCCAAACCTCCTATATGCCACAACCTTCCAAACATTGGAAGATATGGAGCAGATGGAAGACAAGGAGTAGATCAGAGAAGTTTAGGGACACATGCGAGAGCTGAAGACACCCAAACAGAACTGGTTGGAACGCCAGATAGCAGCAAGCTCGGATGGGCCATGCTCATACGTGGAAGCAGATGCTTTTTCAGCAGGGTCTCATGTTGATTTAGGGGGGGTACGACGTGGTCCCAAATATATGAATGATCAACCAATTTGTCAAGGGGAATAGGATATATAGAGTTTACAGGGTGCAGACATAGAAATAATCAAACAGGGGGGCTGCTGAAATAAGGGTTCGGTTAATAGATAAGGGGTGCTCCTAAACAAAGGGCAGGGTGATACGAGCAGCTCCATGGGATGATGGAGCCCCAGGATGAGTCAGTAACAACCATAGCCCCAGGGAACAACAAACACCAATCTCAGCGCTACACGATGTACCCATGGGACGCTGGACCCGGTTTCCAGCAGGTGCCGCTCCCCACCAATAGATGGAGCAGCCTGACAGGTAAGCCCTCAATCCAGACGGTTATCTTACCACCGCCAGGATAGAGGGAAATCGCAAGCGACGCAAGGGCCATTCTAAGAAAAAAAAAAAAAAAAAAAAAAGGATCACTGCTGATAGAAGTTGAGTTTATTTCAGAAAATGTGGCAGTTACTTTCTGCACTGTTGTTGCAACCACCACCATCAGATCGTTTGTGATCTGATGGCTGGGAAACACTCTGCCATGATTTCAGGTGGGAGGTCTCTGTTTTTTTTTTTTTTTTTTGCCTTTCTCTTGTTTTCTCACTCCAGAAATTCGTAATGAACCTGTCAAGCTGCTGCCACACAGTGTCACACTCGATAGGCCACACTCCTATCTGACTGCTAATGGGACCACACCCTAGAGGTCCCCCTCTACTGCTTTCTGGAAGCAAAAACAAAAAACAAAAAAACGTGCATTGTGCTGTCTGAGGGCATACTCACTACGAGACCACAAATCCGCAATTTAGCAAGAGCCGATTTGAGGTTTTGCGCATGGTTCACGTCACACTGTTGTGCCTTTTCAGATGGGACAAGGTCGCGGCCGTCTGGAGAAATGGGGATTTGGTACTTGGCAGGTCACAAGGCGCCATCCACTAATTGTCCAAGAACTTTTGTGAACAAATTTTTGCCAATTTTCGAAGAAAAATGCAACAAATGAAAAAGGGCACTTGTGGTCACCTCCACAGGTGACCGCAAAATTCTTGCCGCGCGGATTCCCAGACCAGTGACAAATGGGCACTGGCTATGTAGCACCATGTTCACGTTCGGCGGCGAACGCGAACAAGCGCCTAAAACCATCCGAACGCGAACAGAAAAATCTGCAAAAACTGTATGTTATGTGAAATAACGATACAAGCAACTTTTGCCTTTGAGTCATGTTCAAATTCGTAACCAATCATGAGTTAAGAATCAAAAACGGAAAAAATATTTTATTTATTTATTTATTTATTTTTACGAAAAAAAATTATGTTCGTCCGAACATGTTCGTGAGCTGTTCGCGCGAACATGAAGGGGCACGAACACGTTCGCCATGCTACGCAGGGCACAAGAATAGTACATTTGCGAATTTGGTAGATCTGTATGACCGGCCTTTTACCATTTGTTTTTGGATTTTGGTATTACAGGTCCCCGTGTGAGTATGCCTTGACTGCAGACAACGTATTTTCGCATTTCAAGGCCAGGTCGCGACCCTGTCTTTTCTGCTTTGGGCAACAAACGGGTGACCAGTGTGACACGCTGTCGAGCGCATCGGTCCCGCACGGGGACCCTCCTGGCCGCGTCACGCAGGATTTGGCAGGACTTGTCGCGGAGAGCGTGTGCCGCTCCGGCCGAGTGCGCCAGCCGTACCTCTCGCGAGCCCCTACGACAGGACGGCCACGCGAGGCACCGCTACCTCCACTTGCGGGAGCTGTCACCTTCCCTTAGGTGGGCGTATCCCCGCCGAGCGACTGAACCACATGCGAAGACTTTTTGTATGCAATTGCAGAGGTGGCCCAGTCGAGGGCGTTTCTTGCTCGCTGTAGCATAGGGGGTACGCGCGGTAAATGCCCAAAATCGAACCCGTACGCGAATCGACGCACTGGGGGGCTGAGGTCCCAAGTGTGACTCAACGCCGGTCGACTAGGATGCACTACATACCACGCGTTACATTACAACACTCACACACTTGGAAGGACACAAAACAAATAACATAACAATACCACAACACAACAACACTCCTAGTCCGTTATGTATCCAGACCATAATTCTCTGAGTCAAAATTAGGTGAGGCGTCGCGCGTAAGACTTAGTATAAAATTTGCGACGACGTATGGCCTTCTCATATCGACTTGCAATGCATGAGTGCGCAAGCAGTAACAACGATGGAGTATCAGGTGGTACCCATATTCACGCGATCCTCGTTAATCGCGAGGGTCGCATTCGACACTCAAGTGTTGGCTAACAAGCGCCTTGAGGGTTAGTCCCTCGACGTAGGACAACCGCCAAGTGCGGTTGAAAACCCCACCCTCTTCTGCACCCCGTGCAGAGAGGTTGGGTAGACGGCTTCAGAGCTGTCATGGTAGCCAAAGATCAAGGGGTCTGACTTTGGTGGCTGCCACAGACTCCAACGTCCAACCATGTTAATTCTAAAACGCAAAAGATAGCAGGGGATCTTCCTTTTCTCTCAGTGTAAAACTTACTTAATCACTATGCACGGCCTCAATGGGTCGGGCGGACACAAAAAACATGATATAAAAGTTATGAGATAGGGGACGATCACTCTCACAGTCACGACGCGGCTTCCCTCAAATATACGTATATATATAATCATACGCAAAACCAAGTTTGGACTTCAATTCACAGAACACACCTGCAATCACATGAACGATCCACAGCAACAGAGCACACACTACACGGGGTCAACTTCAACCATTCTTTCCGCTCACACCCCTTGCTTTAGCCATACAAGCCTCACTCTTTGCGCAACTCTCAAAATAAAGTACTCAGCACCTTTATTAAATAACCATTCAATTAAAGTCCGTGTAAAAACACAATAAATAAATCAAACCACACGACTAAAAGCCTTTAGGTTGAGTTGGCAAGAGTGAATTAGAGCCGAGTCGGAGACCGACCTGTTATCTTAAAGTGATCCTTGTAGGATCAGCTTGAAGATAGTCAAACCCTGAATCAATATGAATAATAGCGATCTGCGATGCAACACAGGCCAGTACCCAAGTCATGCTTGAGTGATCAAGCAATAATCCTACCTTCCTAACTAACCTCTGATGTTTATCTAAAAATGTTGGAAATTCCGGCAGCATATCCCCTAAACAGGATGGATTGCTAGATTTCCCCTAGCTGAAAATAATCTAACTCTCCAAATTCTACAAAATTTCGGCAGCGCTTCCCGTACGAAAGGCTCCTTCCCAGAATTTCTACGAGTCTAAAAATAACTAAGTCTTTCAGGTTTGTAGAAATTTCAGCAGCGCTTTCCGTAGGAAAAGTGGGCTACCAAGATTTATACAAAGATGAAAACAAAAATGCAAGACAAAACTATACCTGGGACTAACTTCTGACACCTGCTTGATAACTTAGGCTCAACATTAGTCTGCATGCCCTCTGAGTGAGACCATGAGCCAATGCCGATCCTAACCCTCAGCAGAGTCGGTCCTATCTCATCCCAAGCTTCCCGCCAGTCGACAACCCCGTCTGCACCACACAGCTAACTGGTTGTAGCCTTGTTCTGCAGCGACCGGGCGTGCCTGCGTCTTCCTGTTAGACCCTAGGATCAGCATGCTCCCGACGTTCGTGTGCAGGTAAGTTTTGCTAAGTCTCTTCCCCTCCCTGCGTATCATACCTCAAGCGCGATCAGATCTATGCAGTTGGGAGCCAATWCAAACTGTGTCAGCCGGGTCTGTGAGCAGCATGKSCGCCARCTGCAAGTAGTGCACCAGCTTTACACCCACAGCTTATTGGCAGGCTACGAATTGACCACCCCTCCCGTAGATGTAAACAGCAACGGCCGCAGCAGCACTTTGAACGCCACGTCATCCCATTCGTCATGCCCCCGACTGCCTTTGAAGTTCGCCATCCACCAAGAATTTCACCCCTGATAATGAAAACAAAAAGCCCCCAGCAGCCTGGGCTCCTGACTCTATTCTCGGTCGGATTCATGACTCACCCCCAACATGCCTACCATGTACAAGCTGTACATAGCCATGATCACCTAGCCACCATAGAGAAAACAAACCCGGTAGGACCCACAAACGAGCTTGATCGTGCATGGGATGAGTTCAATCCCCTACCGACGGACACAACCCTTCTGCACTTTGACACCAATCCGCTTTTCGATTCATCCCACGATGGTCGTCTTCCAGCGTATGCGCCCCCCCCCGGCTGCCAACGCCAGGTAAGTCTCCAAATCTACGACTGGTCTCAGGCTACTCCAGCTCGTTTGCATGAGCAACCAATCGAACTGAATCTTCCGCCATATTATGGGCGGATACATTGCCAGAATTTTATCCCCGTAATAACTCACGGTCCGACGCCACAGATCGGCTTTTGGTTCACCCTTCTCTGCCTGTTCCGAGGTAGGGGCCTTCCCTCTCTCTCTCTCTCTCTCTCTCTCTCTCTCTCTCTCTCTCTCTCTCTCTCTCTCTCTCTCTCTCTCTCTC